GATGGTCCAAAAAGTCACCATCTTCTTCTTGCTGTCACCCATGGTTTCCATCTTGTCCTCCACGTAGACACGCGCTTGTGTGGGCAGGTTGCTCACCAACTTCTTGACCGTGTCCTCCTCGACAAACCTGCTGCTCATCCGCAGCGTCGACACTGTCAGGTCAATCTTGCGCCGGTAGTTGCTCAGATCATTTTGACTCTGCAGCTTCGTGGTGATCAAATCAGCTTCAGCTTGCGCAAACACGCTCTCCAGCGCCTCCAGATCGATGTCGGTTCGATCAATCCAGTCGTGTAGTATCATTCCACGACCATGGCCGCTCTTGATTTCCTTCCTAAGGCCACTCAAGACTAAGCGAGCTGTTCCGGTGAGACACGTCGAAAGTGCGACAATAATCACATTATTGATTTCCTTGAGCTTCTTGACGTTGTCCTTCGGGCCTGGCCCGTGCTTCTCCTCAATGGCAGCGGCTTGCAAATCCTCCTCCTCCAAGCTCTTGAGCTCTGGCAGGTACGGGACTTCGTAGCTGTCGCAAACGGCGTTGATGACCTCGCGCAGCTCGATCAACTTCATCGTGTCATGGCCATCATACTGAGGCCAGCGCTCCGACTGTCGGCGGATGCTCTTCACGATCTCCGGCAACTCCTCGAGCGCCATGTTCTCGATGTACTCCTCGACACCGGTTTTTCCTTTGGGGAACTCGCACTCAAATGGGAAGCACCCAAGTCTTCAGCTCCTTGACGCAGTGTCCACGCAGTCGAGGCCCATAACCTATTGAAAGACGATTTGAGCTGAGACAGTAAAGCGGTTCAATTGCACTTCTCTCACAGGAGAGAACGATAGAAAACAGGAAGGGAAATATCCAAAAGAAAATGCCACTCACGGTCAGCGGGACCGTACTTATAATCCGGTGGCTAAACACACCCAGAGTGTACGAGAGGGTTCCTCGACGGGCGGCGGCAGCTGCACATCGTCGAGTACACTTATGCAATCCTTCCAGAGGGATCTGGCAGGTGGTCGATGCTTGCACTCCAATACCAGCCCCCGATCCGTTGAGCTTTCTGGGCCAGGTGCTTGCCAGCCGTGGCCCTGCGGTAATTGATGCCACCGTGGCTCTGAGTGCGGGCCTGACGCT